AGAGACTGTTGATGGTTGAAATCGAATATAGTCATGTCTTTGGACTTTTGCACCGTGGATGGATCATAGTACCATCGATGGTCATCATTCACCATCAATGGTTAATAACCTACCATTGATGGTAATGATGCCGATATCAGCTTTTGAGCTGATTTTCGCATCGTGTCGCTACCTACATGTCCTAGAACTTTATTTAACCTATAGTACTACATCTCAAACCAATGTCATAATCAAATGAGAGTTTGTTATTACTCAAATAATAGATATTGTGTGGACAAAGTCCTAACAATTTTTGCCCAAAATTTAAAGCAACATTAAAAAAACTCAAAAGTTCAAACAAATGAATATATAAACATAATTATTAAGTATAACCAGTTACTTGAAAGCTATTAATTTCATCGCGAAGGCAAAGAAACCCTCATTTTAAGTCAAGACCCAGATTGGCATTTTGTCGACAGATGATGAAATCATAACCAAAATCAAATCTTCAAACAAAATAAACAATATTAATTGATTCAAATCTTACCGTAGTCAGTAAGTTAATGATAGATTTGTTATGACCAATCTATCCCTCAATTTAATTACTATTACTAATGATGAAAGCAATGTTGACGAAGGGTATTACTGTCATCGTATATTTTCATTTTTATTTTGGGTTCTCGATCTGCATATTTACCCCCATTAACGTGTATTTGCAAAAAAAAACTTCCTAAATGTTAGTATTTACAAAATTACCTCTCAAATTATTAATTTTGTGAAAAATATCTGTAAAATCAACTAATTATCAACTAGCTTGGTGCTCTAATTTGACTATTTTGTTCATAATTTTTACATAGCGATTATAAACTAGCTTATCAAAGTTGATGATTAATTGTTTTGATGGTAAATTTTTTCAAATTTGATGATCTAAGGGTTAGCTTTGCGAAAACTAGAGTATGGAGTTGCAAATAACCATAGGGGTATATATGAAACTAACCCTTTTATTTTTTTGCTAATTATTTGCCGTACAAAAAGATTGGGCTTTATTAAATGTCAGTGGGCGCTACAATCAGGCCACCCCATAAGCTAATACTTAATGGGCCTTCATGAATAAGATCATTTTAATAAACCCACTAAATATTTTTACGCGTACGCATTTTCTCAGTTTGAGTTTTCAAATAAAGTGGTTTTTAAAGTAAACCAATAAAGCAGTGTTTGCAGCGGAGGGAGAGTGATTGGAGTAGGGTAGCGGTGCGAGATGTTGAGGGAATTTTCTATGCAGGATTATCAAAATCAGTTCATGTGTATGGGAACGTTGAGTAGGCAAAGTTTCAGCTAATGACAGACACTGCATGGTTCATATGCACCATAGAATTTAGAAGGATTGAATTTGAAAGTGACACCGAGCGAGCTGTTAGAACTATTCGGAATGATTCCATGATGTTATCATCTTTAGGTCACATGATTGAGGACATGCGAATAGAACTATTCGGAATGATTCCATGATGTTATCATCTTTAGGTCACATGATTGAGGACATGCGAAGATTGTATATCTTGTTCAATTTTTGGGATGTGCGAGCTGTTCATCAAACTGAAAATTGTGTTGCACACATCTTGGCATGGAAGGCTATAAAATTTAAGAGCTTCCAAGTCTGGTTCAAAGACCCTCTAGATTATTTTGCAAAAAGCTTTATTGGAGGAAAAGGAGGAGGAATGTTCGCTTTAGTTGTGTTGGCTATAGACGAGTAAGGGGAGGAGTGAACTTCTTTCCCATTTCCATGGTATCTTATAATAGAAGAAATGTCACATATGCCTTTAAAAAATGTCCCAATGATGCTTTGAAATTGTTTCGGCAAAGCTATTCTTTGACCATTAAAAAAAAAGGTAAATCAGTAGGTCTTAAGCCTTCGGTGATCGACCTAGATGTGGAGGTAGAAAGAACCGCGGTCATAAAATTAGTTTAGATTAGTATTGATCCATAATTCAATCGGAACCCGCAGAACCCAACACAAGTCGGATAAATACAAATATATAACAAAGAAAAAGTAAGAAATTATGATAAGTTTGATACTACTTCAAGTGTTTATCAAAAAATGAACTCACATTAGGTCCCGTTCGCATTGATGCAAACTTATAAATGTATACAGTTTCTAATAGTGACTAATTGAACTTTGCTTTGTGCTTTGTTGCAAAAAATTCAGTAAATCCCAACTTTTACATTATCTCCTTTGAAGTATTGATAATGAATGGTTATGGTTTATTCTCATATTGCTACAAAGTAACTGTTTCATCTTGATTTTTCTATTCTTTGTAGCTATTTTTTTTTGCCCTTGCTAACAAAATCTTTTATAATCCATGTAACCGTATTTTCATTATCAATTCAAGCTACAACTTTCGGCTCTCTTTTACACGAGGTGCAAAATCTCAAGCCTCAACAATTGTACACGGAGTTACCAAAGCTCGCATTGAGTAGAGACCCTTGTGGTCGACAAGCTCGCCGTCCATCAGCCTCAACAATTCAAGCTATCTTAAATTAGGCTTAAAAAAGAGAAAAGATTAAACAAATATCCATATTTGGGACCATTTGGACCAAAACACAAAACTCAGCTCAGAGAAATGGTTCTCCTTCAACTGCATTGTGTGGCTCAATTAATATCCTTGAAGATAAAGGACATAAACAATCAATCATAGCACTACATCAATGGACCATCAATACACTATCGTGAATTTTGACATGCGACATCAAGAACATAACATGCGTCACATGATTAGCGAAATAAAAAAAATAATAATAAATGTAAAAATAAAAATAATAGCCGTCTATTTTGTAGATTCAAACCTGGGTTAACTTTAAGGAAATCCCCTCAAATTGTTGGGGGTCGAGAAGCACAATCAGATCGTGTACGACAAAATAAGCAATCTCCAAGCCTAAGCGCACGACCCAAGAATAAGTGAGATCAACAGATAAAACCTCGAAGCTGAAGAAGAAAATTACAATTACGAACACAAGCAATTTTAACAAGGGAAAAATCCTAACGGGAAAAAAACCTCGAGTCGTACGCGACCACCAAAAAGATCCATTATGTTGAAAAGATCACAACCCTAGTTCTCTTCTACCCTCCATAATCACGGACAAAATAGTAACCCTCACCCTTTCAAGAAACCAAGAATAATTATAAGAGATGGAACAAGATTACTTGTGTAGGACCAATGAAAGCACAGCGAAGAACCGCCCTCAGCAGCCTTCTTTCTCCCCTCTTCTCTTCTTTTCTCTCCTTTCTCTATGGTTATAAAATTACTGACCGGGCTACACTGCGTACACTATTGCACTTAGCAGCCGCATCCGAAGTCTCTGTCGACTGGTGGTGAATCCAGGATTTTTACCTAGGGAGAAGGTCAAAATACAACTAGCGTACATTACATTGATAACAAAAATGATAATTATTAATAAAGTTATATAAATGAGAGTATGACAAAGAAATAGAAGCTTTTCCAAACACAGTATACAATTAAAATTTTTGAATAATTTCCTTATTTGAAAATTTGAATCTTGTTTATTTTAAATCTAGTTTTTGCGATAATGCTATAAAAAAGAGATCAACGGTCTAGTATGTAGGAATCATACCAGACATTTATCTCTGAGATTAAAGACACGATATCCTATAGAACAATTATAACGCCACCATGTTTTTTGTATTAGAATGCTGGACAATTATAAACTCTTTAAGTAAAAAAATGAGTGTAATAAAAATATGAATGTTACAAAGCCTTACAAACATGATAAAAACGAGCCCATTCGTAGATTATAGCCGCTTCCATTTATATATGAAACGGAAGAGAATCAATTTGTGAACGGCCCACGGCCCCGCGTGAGACGGTTCACCTGAGAGACACGTCTCTGACTTGAGGCCGCATGCGGTTTTTTAAGGCCCAGTTCGGATTTCCAGTTTGGTATAAATAGGAGTCTTCTTCTAGGGTTTTTTTGAGATAAGAAGAAAACAATGATTTCTTTGGCGGCTAGAAAAGAGAGATCTTGATAAGAGGGCTTTGGAGAGATTTTACAAGAGAGATGTCAATTTTTTTTGGGTAAAAAATTAAATCTTCTTCTATTGAGACGAGCTTCTGGATTGTACAAGTCGTCTGTGTTTTCCTCATAGTGGAATCTCTCATTCCCCTTCTCCCGTGGACGTAGGCATGTTTGTCGAACCACATAAATCTTGTGTCTTTACTGTTTTCTTGGAGTTGGCTATTACTTGTAGGTTCTCTCGACAAGTCAGTCCTAGAACTGATAAGAGGAAGAGTGTATATTTTACTTTTTTGAGATATTTTACTTTCTGTTCTTGTTTTCTTAGTGAAACGGGAATATAGAGGTTGACTTGAGTTTTTGTGACAATAAAAGATAGGCCTTTCTCTCGGGTAATATCGCTTCCGTGGCGTGAGGACGTGACTCTGCGCCCAACAATTGGTATCAGAGCAATTCGTTAGAGAGAAGGGATTATTAATCAAGCGGAGGATGGCGTCAACTAGCAAGACGGTTAAAGTTGGAAAGTACAAAATTGAAAAGTTCAATAGGAAGAACGATTTTTCCTATTGGAGGATGCAGATAAAGAATTCATTGATTTCGTAGAAATTACACAAGACTTTGGCTGGAAAGGAGAAGAAATACAAGGATATGTCTAATGAGGATTGGAAGGATCTAGATCTGGAAGCACGAGCGTCGATTATTCTATGCCTTGAGAGGAATGTAGTTTTTTTGGTAGATGGAGAGGAAACAACTGTGGGCGTGTGGTCGAAGTTAGAGAGCATCTTCATGACGAAGAGTCTAACAAACCAGGTTTATTTAAAATCTAAATTGTATACTTGTAAGATGGATGAGGGCTCATCAACATGGGAATACATCAATAAGTTCGATAGGATAATATCGGATCTGAAGGACATCGATGTGACTATAGAAGACATGGATCAGGCTCTTCTACTACTTCTATCTCTACCGAAATCTTATGAGAACCTGGTGCAAACATGATGCTTGTGGGAGACAATTTGATGATGGATGAGACAAGAATGGTACTTCTAGCAGATGACTTCCAGAAGATTGTAACTTATGATATGACTACTGGTGGTAACAAAGAACAAGCACATGGATTATTTGCTAGAGGAAGGGGCAATGAGCAAGGAAAAGACAAGGGAGGAAAGTCTAGATCTAAATCAAGACATCTTGCGGGAAGGGCGTGTTTCAAATACGATGAAGTTGGGCATTTCAAGGTCAACTGTCCAAATAAGAGAGTAGATGGGAAGAAGAAGAACAACAAGAGTGAGAGGAGAGAAGGAAAGGAAGAAGCGAGCTATGTTTCAGAGGAAGGGAGTGTGAAGGAATGCTATGTCATCACGGGTGATGATGATATATCCGGAAAGTGGATTCTTGATTCAGGTTGCTCTTACCACATGTACCCAAATAGAAAGTGGTTTATTACCTATAGAATCATTGATGGTGGAACCGTATTGATAGGGAACAACCATGCTTGTAAAATGGTAGGGCTAGGTAATATCAAGATCAAGATGTATGATGAAGTGGTCCGAACCTTGACGGATGTGAGGCACGTTCTCGACTTGTGGAAGAATCTTATCTCAGTTGGTGCATTGGACTCTGGTGGTTGCAGGATTGTTATAGAGAACGGAGTGAAGAAGGTTGTTCGGGGTTCCCTTGTAGTGATGAAGTGTGTTTGTCATGGTAATATATATATATTCTCTTATGTACAACAGTAACGGGAGATACAGTGGTTGGAACTGAAGAAAGTGGTGGAGACCCATGTAAGCACAGACGGTTATGGCATAGGCGGCTTGGGCAAATATCAAAGAAGGGTCTAGTTCTGTTTGGTAAGGAGGGTCTTCTGAAGAATCTGAAGAAATATTGCATGGAGTTTTGCGAGGATTGTGTGTACGGAAAGGTGCACATGGTCTAGTTTATGAGAAACAAGTCTAAGAGCAGGAGGATACTAGATTATGTGCACATTGATGTTTAGGGTTCGGCTTAAACAACTTCCAAAGGGGGTTCTAGATATTTTGTCTTGTTCATAGTTGATTATTCGAGGTATAATTGGATTTATTTTTTAAAGAATAAGAATGAGTTGTTCGAGACATTCAAGAAGTGAAAAGCAATAGTTGAGAACATGACAGGGAAAAAATTAAAAACACTGAGATCTGACAACGATACAGAATACACAGATGGTGCCTTCAAGGAGTTCTGTGATCATGAGGGCATTGTTCGACACTGGATAGTCAGGTCAACACCACAGAAGAACGAGGTCGTGGAGAGACTGAACCGAACATTGACAGAAAAGCAATGAGTATACAATCTTATGCTGGATTGGGCTAGGAATGGTGGGCAGAAGTGGTGGTTACAGCTTGGTATATTGTGAACCGTTCTCCACATTCTATATTGGATGGTGATACACCCTATATGATATGGTCAAGGGAACATGCAGATTATGAGAGGCTTTGGATTTTTAGGTGTACCGCCTATTATCACGTCAACGAGGGAAAGCTTAACGCGAGGGCCAAAGGCTATATTATTGGGATATGCAAAGAGTGTAAAAGGCTATCGTCTTTAGTGTACAGAAGATTCAAAGTTCGTGATTAGCAGGGATGTTACCTTTAATGAGAAATCCATGATTGTTAAGGCACTCAAGGATGATGGTGTTGGGACTGTTAGGACTTCAAAGTCTTAAGTTATTGAGATAGAACCTAAAGACCAACAAGGTTCTAGTCATGTACAAGTGGGAAATCAGGTAGATGATAAGCTTGAGTAGGAGGAGGTTCAGTAGGAGAATACATAGGCACTATAACAACAACAGCTCGAGGATAGTTTGGCTTCCACTAGGCCAAGGTGAGCATATAAGCAGGTACTGAAGCTGGGGGTTGATCAACCCCTGAAGCACTATGGGCAGGTTAATTTGGTGGAATACGCACCCTCGGTGGAGGATAATGAACCGGTCTCCTTCAAGGAAGCTATTAGGGATAGAAATGGTGAGAGATAGTTGGCTGTAATGGAGGAGGAGATGGAATCTCTTCGGAAGAACCAAACACGGGAGGTGGTCCTATTGCCCGTAGGAAGAAAAGCTATTGGTTGTAATTGAGTGTATAAGCGAATGGAAGATCCTTTAAAGCTCCTTCAAAGCTCAGTGGTACAACATACAAGTCGAGGCTAGTGGCTAAAAGGTTTGCATAAAGAGAGGGTGTGGATTATAATGAGATATTTTCTCTGGTGGTGAAACACACTTCTATTTGAGTGCTATTGAGTATTATTGCTCATAGTGATCTTGAGCTAGAACAACTTATTTTAAAGACAGCCTTCTTGCATGGAGACTTAGATGAAGAGATCTACATGCATCAACCTGTGGGCTACAAGGTTAAGGATAAGGAGAATCATGTGTATCACTTGAGGAAGTCACTCTATGGACTGAAGTAATCTCCTTGGCAGAGGTACAAGCAATTTGACTCCTTCATGCTGAAGCATGGGTTTTTCCGAAGCGATTATGATTATTGTGTTTACATTTGAAAACTTTGTGTAGGTGATTATATCTATCTTCTTTTGTATGTGGATGACATGCTTATTACTTCTAAGAGCAGGGTGGAGATAGATAGGATAAAATCTTAAGTTGGTAAAGAGTTCGAGATGAAGGACATGAGCGCTGTAAGAAAAATACTGGGTATGGAGATTAGAAGAGAGTGGACGAATCAAAGATTGTTCTTGAGTCAAAATGGCTATATAGAACGGGTTATCGCAAGGTTCGAGATGCAAAATGCTAGGTAGGTGGTGACTCCATTGGCTCCACACTTTAAGCTTTCAGGTAAACAATCTCCTACTACATCGAAAGAGAAGGCAAACATGGAGCATGTTCCTTATGCTAGTGCAGTTGGCAGTTTGATGTACGCCATGGTGTGTATACGCCCAGATATTTCATAGGCGGTCAGTGTGGTCAGCAGATTCATGACAAATCCGAGAAAGGCACATTGGTGACTCGGACAATCCCCTTCGACTTGGATAATGATGTTCATCACCTTCTCTTTGTCTCAAGCTGTGTACGGATACCTATAGGCTTTTCTAGACGCCTATAGATACCCCATCCAAAGTATTTCAGACTCATTCTTTTATAGAGGAGTCTGGAATGCTTTGGATATGATAGCCCCCATCTTCAGTCGGTGTCAAAGGACTAGTAGATAGCTTCAATTCTTGAATTCTTTAGCCTTCAGTATATTTAGTGTTTTGTCGAATAGATGAAGTTCTTTCGGCACTTGGTTTATCATCTGATCGTTGTCGAAATCTTGAACTAAAGTTGATACGTAAGTTTCTAAACTTAGCTCTTGTCATTGAGTTGACTTTGAACTGATTATCTTTGTCGGGAATTCATATATAAATGTGATTAAACTCCCTAGAATCATCCCCTAACCCGAAATCTTTCCTTAGCCTTATTTTGGCGAAATCATCGACGTGTTGACCGGCATCGACCTTTGCGTTGACCGGCATTAACCTTTGCTGTAACGTGCTGACCGGCGTTAACACAGTTTATACTCGTACGTTTGCTGGAGTCTACAATTAACCTTTGCTGTAACGTGCTGACCGGCGTTAACACAGTTTATACTCGTACGTTTGCTGGAGTCTACACAGTTTAAGCTCTTAAGGCGGCGTTAACACAGTTTATACTCGTACGTTTGCTGGAGTCTACACAGTTTAAGCTCTTAAGGCGTTGGAGCATGGCGGTCCCAAATGTTGGGGTTGCAAGACCAACTATTAAAGCTGATTCATCTGCATGTATGACTTTTATTCTTGAGTTGTTGGATGCTCAAGTCTTAAGATCAACTAATGAAGCTGATGCATCAATGACTTGTGTTTATAGAATTTTTGATAAATTCTCAGCCATCAACGGGTTTGATTAGCCTTTATTGACCAACGTTTGAGTCGGGCTAGCATGCGGATTGTTTAAGTCCGTTCCACATGCAACGTTATGCTAAAAGAGTTAACTCTTTTAGTATTACGATATTGAATACGTAGACTTCATCTTTCTCAAGTGAAAAGACTAAACGGCGACGCGTATTAGGCATAGACTTAGGATTTTTGGCAATTCCTCAGCCTTTAACGGATTTGATGTACTTTTACCGATTACTGTTTAAATCGGGCTAACAAGCGGATTGTTTTAGTTCGTTCCGTATGTGACGTTGTGCTAAGAGAATTAAATCACTTAGACTTGGTGCTATGACTTTGAATACATAGACTTCACCATTTTTTTACGAAAATATGGCACCCGGCAACGCGTATTAGACACTGACTCATCCCTACTTAGGATTCGGGATAAAAGTCCCCAGACTTGAATTCTGATGTCTACTTCATTCGGTGAAAGACTAAACCGGTAACGCGTATTAGGCGTTGACTTATCCCTGCTTAGGATTCGGGATAAAATTCCCCGCGCGTATAAGGCACAGATTATGGTGTTATTAAAAACAACATGCCATAATGTCGAATATGTGGGCTTTTATCCTTTTTACGGCAAAAGACTAACTGACAACGCGTGTTAGGTGCTGACTTATCCCTACTTAGGCTTCGGGATCAAATTCCCCAGACTGGGATTCTGGTGTCTTTTTCAATCGGTAAAAGACTAAACCAGCAACGCGTATTAGGCGTTGACTTATCCCTCCTTAGGCTTCGGGATAAAATTCCTCATGCGTGTGAAGCACGGATTTTGACATTATGAATAACAACCTGCCACAATGTCGAATATGTAGGCTTTTGTTCTTTTTACGGTTAAGAACTAACCGGCAACGCGTGTTAGGCATTGACTTATCCCTACTCAGGATTCGGGATAAAATTCCCCACGTATAAAAGGCATGGATTTTTTTTGCTATGATACTGAATACGTAGACTCGGTCGTTTTTACGGGAACGCACCACCTAGCAACGCAGGTTAAGCGCTGAATCATCCCTACTTAGAATTCGGGATAAAAGTCTCCAGACTTCAATTTAGGTGTTTTCTTTAATCGGTGAAAGACTAAACCAGTAACGCGTGTTAGGCATTGACTTGTCCCTACTTAGGATTCGGGATAAAATTCCCCGCACGTGTAAGGTACGGATTTTGGAAGTTGAAAAAAAGTGATGTCTTCTCTTGGGGCAAAGACGAACCCGATACGGGAGAGGAAGAATTTTATATTCTATCTCCCAAAGCTGAAGAGGAAAAATTTTATATTCTATCTCCAGTTACAAAAGGAAACTCAAAGTGGGATCTCTACTTCAAGAATTCGGAAAGGTAAAACTAAGAGTGGGATCTCCACTCTGAGAATCAAAAAGATTCGGATAACCGTAACTGTCGGAAGGTTTGATTATCGAATTAAAGATGGATTTCTCATTTATCGAGAGTGAATTGTGGTTTTGGTCCTTACTGTGGAAAGGTTTGACCAAGCGGGAGTTTAAGGTAATCCTAACTGTAGGAAGGTTTGATCATTCGATTTGAAAGTGGACATCTCGTTCATTGGAGGAATCGAGAGGGGATTTTGGTTTTGGCCCTAACTGTAGAAAGATTTGACCGAGTGGGAGGTTTGAGATGATCCTAACTGTAGGAAGGTTTGATCGCTCGATTTGTAGACCTCTCGTTCATTGAAGGAATCGAGAGGGGATTTTGGACTGTGGTCCTAACTGTAGGAAGGTTTGACCAAGTGGACAGTGGGAGTGGGAGTACAAATCACAGTGGGAGTGTTGACTTGTACAAATCACTTAGAGGGGGTTCCTGATGTTAAGTGACAAACACTTAACACAGAGTGATTTGACAATCGTCAATGTTAAGTGCACAGATGCATCAAAAGTTTGAGTGTATTCAAACAAAAGGAGTTTTGGTGGTCTCACCGTCAATTAGTCTGATAAGTGGGGCATTTTGTGGTGGAAGACTATGAGTCGTCAAACACCAATGGGAGTTTTGTGAGGAAAGATTGATCCAACGAAGTGATCGAATCTCGTCTCAAGTGTAGACGGTAAAAAATACCTCTATAGACTTACGGGAAATTCGCCTACGAGAAGAACTCGCACGCTCATTTCTCTGGCGCGGGCCTAAGTCGCGTAGACGTCAGATATGCTCGATTCCAGGATCGCCTAACGGTTGGCTCGCCAGCACGAGTTAAGACCGATCAGGATGGCGGAAGTTCGCCTTTCACTCAACTCGCCTGCCCGAGTCCAGAGTCGAATCCGCCGGCAAACCCCAAGACCGTCAGTACAGCTGGGTATCCGCTACCCCACGTGCTGAGATGGACCTTCCCATCCCTCTCGACCCAAAGGGAGAGAGCACAGTACCCCAGGACCGTCAAACGGCCGCTCGTAGTACGCACAGCACGAAGGCCTGGACAGGTGTCGAGTCAACCTGAGCATTCATAAATGCGATTCACCTCGGCTGTCTGAGTCAAGAGCTGGATCCGCCGGCACTCGGCAAGCTGGCTAGACCCACTTGAGTACTGTGCCCCTACTTCGCCGCCTCTCCTGACCGGAAAGGAGAAAGCACCGTACCCGAAGCACGTCGGACGGTCACGAGTGATCGGACAGACGCCTCATCACTCTGCGAACTCATAAATGCAGTTCATTAATGTTGGTCAGGTCCACTCGGATAACAGACGGCCGTTGCCTCATATACAAGGGTGGGCCTTCCCATCGTAGGTGACAGGACATAAAGCACAATCCTTCGAATGACCATTCATGGTATCGAGGAGCAGCTAGACGTCTCTGAAGAAGATGTGGTCACATCCCAGAATTCAAGGATGAGTCAAGCTGTCCTTCTTCCATTTAAAAACCCCTTCCAGCACACTGGAGGAGGGGTCGCAAAACTTGGAGAGAAAAGAGTTGAGACCAAGCTGTTAGCAGATCCTTGCATTACAGCACCACCGCCTAGTTCCGAGCTCCGATCGCCGACGAACTAAGTAGACCCGAACTCTATTGGCCCGAGCTTCTACTGCGTACTGAAGCTCCCCAGCAACCTCATTCAAACGGTCCAAGGGAAGCAGACTCGACACGAGCATCGAGTGAAGCATCCTGTAGCCACCTAAAGTCCCCACACAAAACAAAGAGGGCTTTCCCTCTGCTTCTGTTGTAAACATTTGATTTGTTAGTTTGTAATAAGCTTTCTTATTAATACAAACGAACGCTCCCTGTTTTCGGGAAATTAAATTTTCACCCTACAGAAGATGGCGACCACAGCGGGAGAGGCTGTTTCATCGAGTGAAATGGTGGTGGCTCAGTTTGATGAGGTTGCTGTCGGGACGACAGTGGAGTCCCTAGAAATCGAGTTCGACCAGGCCAAGTACGAAGAGTACTTGTCTTCCTCCTCCTCTGGTGGCGATGCATCCCGCAAATGCCACAGAGCTGTGCACCGAGGCCGACCTCAGACGGTCAAAGCCTCTGCACCTGAGGGTTCCACCCGAATCTCATCGGAGGAGCCCAATCCCTCGCAATCAATCAAGGCCAAGCCAGAGATCGAGCGCAAGAAGCAAGGGTCTGCCAGATGGATCGCCAAGCGGTCCACGAAGACACCTGCCTCGGAGGAAGCGCCGGTTCACTCCGGCACAAACCGCAATGCCACAACCCACGGTGACGTTCTCCCCGCTGGGAGAACTAACCAACAGCGACGGCAAACACCCGTCAGACAGGGGGTCCAAACCTCCATTTCTCATAATGGCCTGAACCATCACACAGGCCCGAGAAACGCCAGACAGGAAGGCAAACTGCCCGACCTCGGAAGGCCCTCCAAATCAGGAGCGTCAACCGAGGACAGCAGAGCCATCCGCTCAGGAGGACTTCGCTTCTCAGGTCATATCCCTGATGCGAACAAACCACACCGAGCATACGAGCCTACCCAAGTAGGCGAATCCTCGAAGGCTGGCGAGCCTCGCCATAATCATTTGGCAGATAAAC